CTGTGAGGAGCAGCTGAGGGAGCTGGGGGTGTTTACCCTGGAGAAGAAGAGGCTCAGGGGAGACCTTATCCTGAAAGGAGGTTGCAGAGAAGTGGGTGTTGGTCTTTTCTCGCACGTAGCAAGCAATAGGACATGAGGCAATAGCCTCAAGTTTCACCAGGGAAGGTTTAGATTGGATATTAGAAAAACTTTCTGCACTGAAAGGGCTGTCAAACATTGGAATGGGCAGCCCAGGGAAGTGGTTGAGTCACCATCCTTGGAGGTATTTAACAGATGTGTGGGTGAGGTGATGATAGTTTAGTGGTGGTATTAGAAGTGTGAGGTTAACTGAGTGACTTGATGGTCTTAAAGGTTTTTTCCAACCTAAAGATTCTATGATTCTAACAGGAACATAGCACATAGACTGAGGGAAATGAACATTCTCTTTACTTGGCACCCATTAGACCCCATCTGGAACTCTGTGTCCAGGTTGAGGCTCCAGCAAATATAAGAACAACATTGAAGTTCGGTGTAGGGCTATCAAGTTGTATGGGGGCTAAAGTGCTTGCCCTGAGCTGGTTCAGCCTGCAGAACAGAAGGCTCTGTGGGAGTTATCAGCAGTCCCCCAGTACCTACAAGCAAGATGGAGCCATGCTCTTCACAGCAACACATGGTAAGGGGATGAGTGGCATGAGACATAAATTGAAGAAAGGGAAGTTCAAACTAGATATAAGGTGAAACTCTTCTACCTGAGAACAGTCAAGCAGTGGTACCAGTTGCCCAGGGAGGTCATTTAGTCTTTATCCTTGGAGGTTTAAAGGATAAAGGCCTAAGAAATCTTGCCTGAGTCCAAAGCCCACACTCATTTGAGCAGGAGTTTACCCAGAGAACTCCTGAGGTCCCTTCCACCCTGAATAATTCAGTCTATGGAGATACCAGGTACTGACAATTTCTTTACCTTAATGGAGAAAAGTATAACAAGAACCATTTGCTTGAACCTAAACCCCGATGAACTGAAAAGGAAACTTCTAGCACTGCCTGTGATTAACCAAAGTAACTAGTGCCAGAATACAGACAGGACTCTCCACACCTTCTGGCTTCAAATCGAGGCACAGTGCTGTTGTGGGACATTTTTTACTCAAGTATACACACAGAGGCTAAAATATAAGTAAATTGTAAGGACCATAGTGGAATAAAAACCAAGAAGTTAGATAAAATGACAAAATGGCTTTAAGTCTTTGCCCGTAACACCTACAATTTAAGGAAAATGCTAGCTATTATGTGGTTACATCAATATTTTAACTGATCTTCATGTTTAACCAACAAAGGTTACATCATACCACATCCAAAAATTAAAATAAAAAGAAAAGAGATACAGAAAAATAACAGGAAGAGTTACTAACTTTATATTATTTCCAGTCCTTTTCCAGTGCAAGGCTTCTTAATAGGTAATGGGCTTTGCTCCCTGGTTTGCATTTAAGATTAATTCACACAGAGAGCTTTAAGTCGCTTCAAATACCATGTAGCAGCAAATTTCAAGATTTGTATTGAGCTCTCTGTAAAAACAAAGGATTCTACACAGAGAGGCATTTATAGCAGTGTGCCATTATCAATTGTGGACACAATTAAAATAGTCATTACGACAAAGCAGCATAATATTCTTCTAAAAGCAAAAAAGGTGAGGCCTGCATTTGCTCAGCTTTTAAAAATCAAACAAAATCAGTACTGTTCTGCCTGCCAGATCATTACTTTTCAAGTATGCAGCCAGCACCCCTGTATTTCCAATTTAACAGGAATCTCATAAGTGTTTCATTCTAGAATAAGCACATAGAGTTATTATCCATTAAGGCAGAATTTTAAGTAACCAAATAAATTTGCATAATCAAATATTTGTACCTGGCATGTAACTAATTCAAAAATGTATGTAATACACAGTGAAAATCTTTACATGTTCTCATTTGTGATTTAACTTGGAATACAATTTTGTTTTGAAACAAAGCACAAATTCATCAGCCAAGGTTACATGAAAGAAGCTTGACATTTTTAACAATACCTTTTTAAAATTATCAGACTGAAAACTAGTGTTTGAACAGTTTTTAAAAGGCTGAAAACACCCTTCCTTGTGCTAAGATAGCTACAAAGGCTGAACAGCCTTTTTTACCCTTGCCAAAATAACACACCTATTGCCAAATATAAAATGCTCTATCTAAAAAAAACAAACCAACCCAACCAACGAAACAAAAAACAATAAAACAAAAACAAACAAAAAAACCCCAAACAAACAAAAAGGAAAACACACACACAAAAAAACCAACAACAACAAAAAAAGCAAAGCTAAAAAATTACACAGCATAGGATATCCAGCACTTTCTAACCTCACCTAACTAAAGTATCACCACTGAACTCCTTTAAGGCCAGAACAGAAGTTCATTCGAGGGACAATTTAAAAGGCAAAGAAGTGGTTATTACAAGTCTGTTTATAAAAAGTGCTACTTATATAGCTGCAACTCAATGGACCTATAAACTTGAGGATCTCCACCTGAAGAAGGAAGAGGACAGAAAGATATTCCAGCTACTCACCAGCCCCCAGAGATTCAAACTGATTTTATATAGGTATTCATTGATTTTCTGTGTTCAGCCTTCTAGCACAATAAGCACAGAGGCAATGGCCAAAACTAATAATCTTCACACAAAGGCAAGAAAAGAGACTCATGCTGGGAGGTTTGGGCTACGTAGGCTTTCAAATAACTACATCAGGAGCCCATAAAATATTTCACAGGATTTTCTGCTGCTACATTTACCCCTCAAAAAGCAGAGTCTGACATTCCACCACAGCCTGAAACTGCACAAACTAGGTACCACAGTGTGTTCCCTGGCCCTGTGAGTAGCCGCATGCTCGACCAGGGGACAAGAGAAAGCCTGCAGCTGAGTGACCACTGCCTAGCAGAGCTCATTGTGCAAAGAACCATGCCAAGCACACGCTTCCCTGACTCGTCCTGTAGGCCCTCTATGCTCCCTTAGCTACATACTGCTTCATGTCCCAAAATCAGACCCAGTGTCCTATGTCATCCATACATAGAAGGTCTAACACACTGGTCCATCAAAAACAAGAGTTGTGTAAAGAGTCCCCAGAGTACATACAGATGCCTTTTTAAACACTTTTAAATAATATTAAGGGAAGATATGAAATGAGAAGTTAATTTTAAGTAAAATATCACAGCACATAGGATAGATCAAGTTTCAAAACTTAGAAAACACAGAGAATAAATGAATAATGTGAGACTTTTTGTTGCACGTTTAAAAAGTTTCAAGATGAGAGGAAAATCAAATAACCAGGGCCAGAAATGACCTCATCTTCAGCAATGAGAACATGGTAAAGGAAGACCCTCTGTTTAAATTTGCACCTTGGGAATTATTTCCTATATAAGCCAAACCAGATTTATTTATATAAAATCAATGATCTGCTTTTGTTTGCCCTGATGCAAACACCCCATCCCCTCGCACACACACACCCCCAGCCATTATTCCCCTCCTACCTTCAAAACTCCCAGCAAACAGATAAATCCACGTAATGGCTGGGACAAAAAGGATGGTCAGAGAGGCAGCCAGGAATTTCCGTCGCCCTCTACAGATTCCCAGCATTCTCTCAGGAGTGCAGATTCCCGACCCGGTGTTGTTCCTATGTTGGAAGCAAATAGTCCACAGCCTCCCACATATTACTCCCTGAAAAGGAAAGGAAAAAATATTTTAACAGCTTATCTCTCTACAGAAAGTTAAGACTATGCCAGTGTTCCTAAAGAGTTAAAGGAACAGGGCTAAAAATAGGGTTATTGCAATTGCAAAGCAGTACCCATTTCAAAATTATCCATGACAACTTAATAATAAAGCAAGTTTTAGAAGTCAGACTAAGACAGTAAGTCAATAAACCACGTCATATCACCTAAATATACACTAAGCTAATCTTACACAGAGACATCACCTTTATTTGTTGTTGGGGTTGTTGTGGGGGGTTTTTTCCCACCTTTTTACTCTACAGAAACTGTGTTCTTTGATGCCTATGTGTGCTGATGCCTCCAGGCAGATAAAAGAAAGGCACCCCTATTTCTTTGTCTGTTCCCAAAGAGCAAAATTTATACCAGTGAATCAATGAGCTGGGCAGCAGGTGGTCAAACTCAAGAGGGTGAACTGAAAAATGAAAGATAAAGTTTGGGGGAAGAAGGATGTTATTAAAATGACCCACTTTGTTAATCAAAAAGTAATGCTGATGAACTGCTATATAAAAGAGAAGAAGAGAAAGAGTAAAATGGACAGGGAAGCTTCCTTAGGCACAAAAAGGGGTACCAGGAGCTTTAGCCTGTATTCCATGCGAAAAGAAGGGGATTCTGGAAAGTACCACTGGTCTTAAGAGGAAAAAAAACCAAAAGAATCTTAATTTGCTTAAATTATTGTTCTGTGTTTCACAGATGCCAAGATGGAAAAATAATCTGATGATTTTTATTCACAGGAAGGTTAATATTCTCACACCAGTGCAGGTACGCAAGGCAAATATTTCACGCCTTTTTCTTTTTTTGTTTGAAGGGGGAGGAAAGGCTAGTGTTAGCCTAGAGAAGTTGGAGAAGGAAAGGAAGGTATTAAGTCCGTGCATATCTAGTTCAAGCGTTGTGTGAAAGGGCTTGTTTTCGAATTTTCAAAAAAATAATTGGTCTACAAGAATGACAGGTAAAGAAACACAGGCTCTGGCAGTACATGGTGGGTAGTAACAGTGCCCTTTGGCTTGCGCTTAAACCAGTACTAGAGCTGAAATCAGCAGTTAAAGCATTTCTGCACTGACAGATTAACAATAGCTACTGCGTGCCTTGAAAACGTCTGAGCTCTACAACTCCACATATATTGCAGAGAAAGTCAATTCTGAAATCAAATTACAGCAAAAATGAGAATTATAGACAAGAGAAATGGATTCAGACAAAGAACTCTGCTGCTGGAAATACCTGGCTGCAGCAATCAGGCAAACTTACCGTGAGCTGTTCCTTGAATGTTCAATAGACCCCACTTTACTACACTATGGTTTAAGAGTCATGATACTACTCCTGACCTTGGAACTGATAAAATGGACTATAATTTGTCCAGAGCCAGCACAAAAAGCATTCCATTGTGTCAGCTTTTCAACGCAATGAATGCCTCACCACAGAGATTTTGCACAAAATATGTGGATAGACTTAATATTAATAACTGTGATATTAGAGTCACTGTGCTAGACAGAGACACACATTTGGTAGATAAATTGTGGGGAACTGTTATCTTTATTCACTGTAGTTGGAAAACGATTACGTTTCATTTCTTTTCCTTACATCACATAGCTTGTATAACTACTCTGAAGACAGCCCTTTACATGCCTACTTGAAAAACATAGATAATTCTCCTGGCTTATGTGTTTTACACTTGCTATATGAGTATCTTGCAAAGTGAACATAATCACTTACTTTAAGTAGTAATATTATGGGTTTTTTTCCTGTAACATCATGGTGTGCACCACTGACATCAATCTGTGAATCTTTGACAAAACAAACTCACAAACAAGGTCATTCTCCAGTAACACCTTGTAATGAAACGTGCATTGGATACATACTGCTCCTACCAATGATTCCTGTAAAACCCACAGGTAGTGAAGTGAGAGTCAACACTACATGTTTCTGAAATCATGCTGCTACAAGTACACTGATTTAAGTTTTTGGGATAGTGGCATCCAGACTCTGAAGCTTAGGGTTATAGTGCTGCTAGTGGATCAACCAATCCTGGGGCTGCATATTTAAGAAAAAAATATTTTTTTTCCCCATATATTTTTTTTAAAATATCCATGCATGTTAAGTTTCTGATTAGGTTAAAATGGAGGTTGAAATCCAGCTTTTCTACCCCATAAATGTAAAGTACCCTAACAAATTAAGGAAGTATACAGAGCAACATTGAACTCCCAATTCAACTACAACGGAAAGCTAGGAATGCAGGAAATTCAGCTTTCTACAAATTGTCATCATTCAGTCAAAAGAGCCAAATCATTCTGCACATTCATGAACATCTTTTATCTACCTAGGAAGTTATTTAGGAAAATTCTGAACAGACAAGTCAGCTTGTGATGCATCATGCTAGGAAATGTTGAGATATCTCTGGTAACGGTACTTTAAAAGACTGAAGAGCCATAAGCTATTTTAAAGGAAGTTTCTACTATCTTTCCACCTCTCCGAAGTTGTGAATAGCTTTCCTTTACCTTAGTGTATGAAATCACCACTAAGTATTTTTTTCTAAACCAGACAATGCATGATGTGCAAACCCTACACAAGCAATTATATAAGAGGTCCATGAATGGTAATGAATATGCTTAGCTTAAAGAAATCGCTTGGGACTCAATCATGTATTCATTATTGGGTTTACCTGTAAAGAATTTTACTGAATATACGATCACCAAACTAACTGAAAGAAGATACTGCAGTTCTCTGACTTGGTTTTCCTTTCAATTCAACAGGTGCCAGAGTGACATCTGTCATGAAAGTGACTGACAACACTGGGTGGAACAACGGCTGAGCACAGAACAGGGTAGCACTGTGCACATTTCTGCCACATGAGCTTGCCACCGTCCTTCAGTGACTAAATGACTAAAGCATTCACTGCTCCTCAAGCCACAGTCCTACTGAATCAGGCTGTCACCTGCCTTAGAAAGCAGTTTCATGGTAGAGGTTAAAAATTAGGCACTTTGGATGTGACACTGCTAGCTATATTCATCTTCTCTGTAATAACAAACACTGTAAGATGGTTCACTTCATTTGCACAAATCCATGCAGTGCTCCTCCTGATAGTTTTCAGTCTTATACAGCTGGGCTAACTAAACAACTGTACTCAGAAACACACAGCATGATATACATCGGAAGGAAAAAAAAAAAAATAAAAGGATAAGAAAGTAACTGGCACCTCTCCACAGGTCCCTTCCAACCCCTACCACTCTGTGAATCTGTGAATTTCAGCCCAGGATTTAGGTGCAATACTCCTATAGAAAAATAGCCAGTGGCTCCTCTTAATCTGTTGCCCAGTGTTAATATTTTCAGATACACCTAACTGAGCCACACTGAACGTTTAAAGCTTTAACCACGTTTATTGGATTTATCTCAAAGCAAGGGAGATCATAATTAGCCCTGGAGCTGAAAGCCAACCGTATCCTGGGCTGTATCAGGAGAAGTGTGGCCAGCAGGTCGAGGGAGGGGATTCTCCCCCTCTACTCTGCTCTTGTGAGACCCCACCTGGAGTGCTGTATCCAGCTGGGAACCCTCAACAAAAGAAGGATATAGACTGGTTGGAGCAAATCCAGAGGAGGCCACGAGGATGTTCCAAGGGCTGGAGCACTATGGGGACAGGCTGAGAGAGTTGGGCTTGTTCAGCCTGGAGAAGAGAAGGCTCCAGGGAGACCTTATAGCACCTTCCAGTACCTGAAGGGGCTACAAGGAAGCTGGGGGGGACTTTTTACAAGGGCCTGTAGTGACAGGACAAGGGGTAATGGGTTTAAATTGAAAGTGGGGAGGTTTAGATT